TGTGGCCATTGTTTAGCCTGTATTAAAAGTAAAATAACTTAAGTAGGCAAATTAGTTCAAATCATACCTGTGCAGTCCAACGAAGTGGGTTAACGCATGTTCCGTTAAGGCAGCCTATTCATTTGAACGCACCAGAACCAATTTAAAATTGGACCTGCATCATTTCTACCATGGTAGTAAACCACATGGCACCATAGCGTGTTACTGTGTGTTGTGGTGCATGTAATGCAGGTTGCATCGCGTGTCTGCGGATTATTGCGTTTCCGCTCCGTGGTGCTTGCACTGTGGTGCCGTTACCACAGCACAAGTCTTACGGGGACCTCATACTGATGCTGTTAAATTTGGTCTGGAAATTTAGGCTTTCATGACCCCTGATCATAAAAAGGGATAGATCCTATTCGGAATACTCACCTCATCCTGTACCAGAAGCCTCTCTGCCCTGAAAGCAAGGGCAGGTCCTGCACCGAAACCACACATTGCTGAGATTCCAACTGCAGAACAAACTGAGCTGTATATTTCAAGGTACTTGTTACAACCCAGCATATTACTTTAACTACAGCAATGCCTTCTTCAAAGAGATGATCAAACACATTCATCAAAATCCAGAACAAAAATAAACAGCTGAAAATGTTGTCTCATTGTTCCCCAAATATCTACTTTATAGAATACATCATTTTCATAGATGTGATGATGAAAAAAAAGTTAGAATCAGGTGTCTGCAGCAATAAATAAGCGCTGGAATAAATGGCAGTATCATTTCAGGATCTATCTGTGTTATACACCAGTGGATATGAATGCGGAGTTGGCCACAAGCGCAAAAGGAATTTTGTTTAATGGTTCCTCCACCCACTGTCCTAAACTCGTTGATCAAACTTGTGTTGGTATGCAAATGTCTTGTGTGAAAGGGCGATGATGCAGGAAGCATAATGGCTTTTGGTCAATATTGAGTGATTTTTGTACATATTCTTTTATAATAATAATCATATGAATATTCCTCATGATTTTTGTTTGTTGTAATTGCTGAGAGAAAGGGATATGGGGGGTGGGGGTGTCATCCACCTCCAAAAAGGATTGGCTCTGTATCTTTAGGCCCAGGTCCCACCTGGGCGTTTTTCCGCGTGTTCGTACTCGCGGAAAAACGCTCAAACAGGGAAATGCCATTATTTTCAATGTGCATGGTTCCCATCTGGGCGTTTTTCCGCAAGTACGAACGTGCGGGAAACCGCCCTACGCCCAAAGAAGTACATGTACTTCTTTGGGGCGTTTTGGTCGGGCGTTTCCATTGGGATACAGCCAAGTAGCCCTCGGAAATGCGCGTTTTCAATACGCCTAGGTGTGAACCCAGCCTTACATTTATTGAATAAAAAAAGCATAATGCACTAAATCTATTGAGGGACACAGGAAATTATTCATCTTCACGTTATACTGTTGTCTACAGGAGGACTGGACACAAGAAAACATGTAGGCCAGCCCAGGGTAGCCCCCACCTACCAACAGAATGCCTCAGTGTTGCAGCAAAGGGAGAGAGGGTGGGACCTGTGTCCCTCAATAGAATCCAAGAAAAACCCTATTTTCTTTCTCGTCCATTGAGGGACAGAAAGTCTTTTACCTTCAGCACAAGAGAAGTCCAACTGAGGGTTGGCCAACACAGCAAACAAATGCTAACAGGCCAAAGAAAACAACAAAGAAATTGGGACTGCCTACAACTCAAAGAGCCACCCGAAGGACCAAAGCTGGCAAAAGATGAGGCTGCAACGTCCACCTGGTAAAACTTGAACAGAAGACTAGGTGCCAACCTTGCAAATCTGAGAAACAATTGCTTGACGTCAAAAAGCCCTAGAAGCCGTCACAGGTCAAGTAGAGTATGCTTTGACGTGAAAGGTTGGACCGTGATCCTTGAGACCATAAACCTTGATGATGGTCTGCCTGAGCCAACTAGGAATGGTGAATTAAAAAGCCAGGGCACTTTTGCGGGGGTCCCCCCTGGGATGACAAAAAGAGAATCAGTCTTCTGGAAAGAAGCAATAGCTGAGAGATAAATTCTCACAGCCCCAAACACATCCAGCCAATGGAGGGACATTTCCCCCTGCTGAACTGAAGCCGGAAAGAGGGACAGCCAAACGTTGCCCTGGTTGAGGTGAAAGACAGAATCTACCAGGACGAGCAAGAAAGTCCTGGGCCTCAACACCTATGCAAAATATGGAAAGTATTCCTTGTAGGAAAGGAACGCTATTTCAGATACTTGCCTTGAAGAGGTGATGGCTACGAGGAATACCACCTTATGGGTGAATGTAGAGAAATGTCTCTAATAGGTGTTTGTGTTACACTCCTCCCAGCAGATAATGCCAGCACTCTGTCCCACAGCGTTAACCCCTTCCGCAGTAGAAACCATCAGGAAAGGGGAATAAAGGTGCCCAGAAACCTATGTAAATGAGGTTGCTGGCCCAACTGACCTACTCACTAAGTAAGTCTTCAGAAACAAGGCAAGCGCAGGGGCAATGCCAGTGCCTCTGGACCTGGAAAGCACTCAGGTTAGTTTGAGAGGTCCATCCTCATAGGACACTAGCATAAATCTGAGGTGTGCTGTTAGAAAGAGGGGTTTATCCTGGACAGACCTAAGGCTTTTTGCTTTTGCTTGCCAGAGTCCAATCCTCCTGCAGGTGGCAGTATAACCTGAAGCTTAAAGATTACCTGTATCCTTCAATGAACAAGAAAGATAAAAATTGTTGCACTCACAAGCAGTGAAGGGCTCGGGCGTGTTCGCAGCTCCACGTGCCGAGCCCGCCAGGAAGCTGAGAGCGCCAATCACAGGCACGGAGACATTTCCCGATCTCTGCAGCTGCAGACCGGGATAATGTCTCAGTACCTGTGATTGGCGCTGCGGCGCTGTCAGCTTCCTGGCGGGCTCGGCACGTGGAGCTGCGAACACGCCCGAGCCCAACACTACTCACAAGGTCACACTATGATCTCACTGTGAAAACAGAGATCACTGTTGACTGATTTTCTCATTTATCGCAGAATTGTTTAGGGGGTTTTTTTCCCCAGTAAAGTGACAAAATCTTTTTAATCAGTGCAATGCGTGCAACTGTGTCAAAGGCTGAGCTGAAGTGCAATTACAGAGCTTAAGGCCCCACCCTGATCTGTTGCAAGACTTTTCTTGGGTAATCAATCAGGTACATTAAGCGTGACCTGTACTTCACAGCTCCTGCACGTGCAGATGCCAACACAATTCAGATGATAGACCCGCATGGAAAAATGAAGGCAAAGTAACTTGGCCTGCGTTGTTTTGGAAAAGGCCAAAACTTACACTTCTTCTGTGATATTAAAGCTCCAGCTCTTGCCAAAAAAATGTATTATATCCTTTTTAGTTTTAGAAGGTGGAAGAATTAGAAAATAAATGCTGTTGGAGTTTCTGCTGGGGGGAATCCCCCCCCTCATCCAATACCCACCAGGAACATAGACAGCTAAAAAATGTGACAGAGTTTTTAACCCTTCACTATCGTATCACACATTGAATAAAACATTTTAGCTGCAGTTGGTCTTGAATTCAGCATGTCTTGGGCTCCTGGTTAGGTGAACAGTTCCAAGGTAACGGTCATGTGACTCTGTCAGGAGATCCTGAGGGACTGACATTTTTGCTGTAGGTCCCTGTGCATCACGCAGCCAGGCACCGACCATGGTAAGGTTATGGGTATTACAGAATAAAGGAAGATTTTCGGACTGATTCTTAAAACATCATGGCCGTGATTGTTTCATGGAGTTTTGCTTTAGAGGTAATGTGTCATGAAGCAAAGTGCGAAAAGTCTCAGGTGGAAGGTGCAATTCCTGGCTCTTCGGCCATATTACAGTCCCAGTGCAGCTTCCTGTCTGACTCAGACAAATACCTTGCTCCAAATTAGGTCTTGCCTCCTTCCTCTATCTATCCTATCCTCTGCTGAAATACTCTGCTCTGCTGGAGGACTTTGCTCCCTACTCTATAACTCTCCTCTCCTGATATACTCTGCTGGAGGACTCTGCTCCTTCCTCTGTCACTCTCCTCTCCTGATATACTCTGCTGGAGGACTCTGCTCCTTCCTCTATAACTCTCCTCTCCTGGAATACTCTGCTGGAGTACTCTGCTCCTTCCTCTGTACCTCTCCTCTCCTGATATACTCTGCTGGAGGACTCTGCTCCTTCCTCTATAACTCTCCTCTCCTGGAATACTCTGCTGGAGTACTCTGCTCCTTCCTCTGTACCTCTCCTCTCCTGATATACTCTGCTGGAGGACTCTGCTCCTTCCTCTATAACTCTCCTCTCCTGGAATACTCTGCTGGAGTACTCTGCTCCTTCCTCTGTACCTCTCCTCTCCTGATATACTCTGCTGGAGGACTCTGCTCCTTCCTCTATAACTCTCCTCTCCTGGAATACTCTGCTGGAGTACTCTGCTCCTTCCTCTGTACCTCTCCTCTCCTGATATACTCTGCTGGAGGACTCTGCTCCTTCCTCTATAACTCTCCTCTCCTGGAATACTCTGCTGGAGTACTCTGCTCCTTCCTCTGTACCTCTCCTCTCCTGATATACTCTGCTGGAGGACTCTGCTCCTTCCTCTATAACTCTCCTCTCCTGGAATACTCTGCTGGAGTACTCTGCTCCTTCCTCTGTACCTCTCCTCTCCTGATATACTCTGCTGGAGGACTCTGCTCCTTCCTCTATAACTCTCCTCTCCTGAAATACTCTGCACTGTTGGAGGACTCCTCTCTTTCCTTTACCTAATTATTTTCCCACTTACCTCCTTTCCCTTCCTTACGTCATCACACCAATTCTGCCACATGCAGCATTTTCTTACTTACAACATCAGCAGACTCAGCAGACCACTACCTCCCGCAAGGCCGACACCTCCTCTGCGGTGGCTATATAAAGATGCACCCAAATCTTTCGCTCCCCTCCCAAGCTCACAGACATTCTACCACTTTCCTGTAGATAAAGATGTTTAGATAAATAAAATAAAAAAATTGACCTACCTTATGCAAGTGTTCAAGGGCCAGTACAATTTCCCCAATATACATCTGAACTTCACGCTCTGTGAATTTCTCTCGCTGAGATAAATGAGTGAATAGTTCTCCACCATTAATGTAATCTGCAAAAAGCATATAAAAAACAAGCCAGCTAAAGCAGAATTTCACCCAAAAATGTTCAAGATTCTGCTGAGTTTGATAAATAAAACGGTAACAGAAACGCTAAAAGATTTTTCTATTCTGGAGAAAATGCTGCTCCAGATTCCCTTTAGTTTCGGCCACATGCAGGGAGGCATAGGATTTTGGTCATGTGACACCTGTAGAAGCGGGGGATCAGAGTTCAGATAGGCTTTCGCAGAGATGTGACCAAGCACCTTAGCCATATACTGTATGTCAATTACAAGGCACCGCGTGTCAGAAACAGGCCGACACACGATTTTATTAGGGCCGCCGGTCCCGAGCTTTGTACCGCGGCTCAGGCAGAAAAAACTTGGAGCCGCATTTCAGCCGGCCGCCCTCTGAGGACACCGCACCTCACTCTTGGGAAGCAGGTTTCTCCTCGCCGCTGCCTCTGGTCTTGGCGGTTCCGGTAAGTCCCGCTGTGTGTATTCGGGACTGACTGTGCGTGAGAGCACTACAAGTGTCAGCAGTCCCTGTCCATTTGATGGACAGGGACTGTTGACACTTGTAGTGCCCTCACACACAGGACTGTCATAAAATGGACAGGGACTGCTGACACTTGTAGTGCCCTCACGCACAGGACACAGGAAAGTAATATCATTATAGGACAGCCCTGGTGTCCTGTGTGTGCGGGGGCACTACCAGAGCCAGCAGTCCCTGTCCATAATATGACAGTCCTGGTGTCCTGTGTGTGCGAGGGCACTACAAGTGTCAGCAGTCCCTGTCCATTTTATGACAGTCCTGGTGTCCTGTGTGTGAGGGCACTACAAGTGTCAGCAGTCCCTGTCCATTTTATGACAGTCCTGGTGTCCTGTGTGTGAGGGCACTACAAGTGTCAGCAGTCCCTGTCCATTTTATGACAGTCCTGGTGTCCTGTGTGTGAGGGCACTACAAGTGCCTGCAGTCACTGTCCATAATATGACAGTCCTGGTGTCCTGTGTGTGCGAGGGCACTACAAGTGTCAGCAGTCCCTGTCCATTTTATGACAGTCCTGGTGTCCTGTGTGTGAGGGCACTACAAGTGTCAGAAGTCCCTGTCCATTTTATGACAATCCTGGTGTCCTGTGTGTGGGCACTACTAGTGTCAGCAGTCCCTGTCCATTTTATGACAATCCTGGTGTCCTGTGTGTGGGCACTACAAGTGTCAGCAGTCACTGTCTATTTTATGACAGTCCTGGTGTCCTGTGAGTGTGAGGGCACTACAAGTGTCAGCAGTCCCTGTCCATAATATGACAGTCCTGGTGTCCTGTGTGTGAGGGCACTACAAGTGCCTGCAGTCACTGTCCATAATATGACAGTCCTGGTGTCCTGTGTGTGCGAGGGCACTACAAGTGTCAGAGGTCCCTGTCCAATATATGACAGTCCTGGTGTCCTGTGTGTGTGGGCACTACAAGTGTCAGCAGTCCCTTTACATTTTATATATCAGTCCTGGTGTCCTGTGTGTGCGAGGGCACTACCAGTGTCCTCAGTCCCTGTCCATAATATGACAGTCCTGGTGTGCTGTGTGTCAGGGCACTACAAGTG